TTTACGGTACGTTAAATACAGGTGCGCTGCGCATCCATTTAGATTAACTGAAAAACAGCACAGATCGCTTAGTGGAGAGTGAAACTCTGATGCGCTCAGTCAGAGAGTGTTCGGCGAGTGAAAATATATCTGAGCTAAACTTATACTTAGCCTCCAACTCACACACTGGCGAGTAAAATCTGAGAATTTATTAGCAATTGGCTAATATTAGACATCATTTAGTCGCCAGAGTGAAGATTTAGTCGCATATGCGAGTGATTTACTCGCAATGTAGAGGGTTGTGATCCCAAACTTTTGAACGGTAGTGTATATAAATGTAAATATTATAACTGACAAAAACTTAAAGGAAAATTAAAAGTGTTGTGGCAGCTAACTGATCTATAAAATGCCTCAGTTAAAGTACTAAAATTACTACAATGAAACTGAAATAAAAACAATTTAAGGCCAAATAGAAATAAAAACTATTTATAAAAATGGAAAAAGCACATAACAAAATTACCAAAACCTAAAATAAAATTAAAATTAAAACAAAAAAATATGAAAAAACAAAAGCTAATTTAAAATATGAATAATATTATAATAGTATAGAAATAATACTCAAATAATACAGTAATTATTATGTTTGACGTCACAAAACTCACCACAGCAAACTCATCTTTGTCCAGCATGCCATCTCTGTCAATGTCACTGAGCTCCCAAACCTATAACATTCATTCCAATGAGATGTCAGATCAATTCTGTCAATTAAATCACTATTACTGATTTACAGAATTAATTACTCATAGTTTGATTTTAATACATTTTCAAGTGGGATTTTAGTTCAAATCAATTTAGTTAAACTTTAGGTTTTTGTTTGTTTTTGCCTTTTAAAAGACCCGAGTACAGTACTTTTAAGCTACAGCTCAAGAACGCAGCCTGCTGGTTAGGCCTACAAATGCACCTTTATATAAAAGACGAGGTAAAAGTTGTATCTTCAAACCCTGCATTGCATCTAGGCCTGTCGCAATAATCAATATATCGACTTATCGCGCAATATATGTACATGACCTCAAGAATTTTTGGTGACGCAATATATCGCCCATTATATTTACTTAAAAATTTATGTCACCATGTTTTTTGCATTCCACTTGTGCCTGTGTCTTTTGCAGCTTCTCGTACATAATGTGGTGTAGAGGTGCTAGTTTCATCTGCAGATATGGTCTTGTTTAGAGATCTGTGTCTTTGTGCATACGGACATCTGACTGCTAAGTAGTGATTGTGTTTTTCAGCAATAGTGTGCGCCCTTAATTTACAGAGAAAAGAAGGTCAGGGAAAAATCTGTAGATGGAAAAATCTCCATACAAGTTCTTTGTG